AATATGAGGGAAAAGCAACAGAAAATAAAATAAGACCAGAAAGTATTAAATTAGAAAACCAAATATTTATTTTGAAACATAAATTCTTCCATGTCAGTCGTATACAGTCTAACTTCTTAAACCTACTCAAGTGACTTCCAACTACTGAACATTGCTTACTGAAGTTCTACTTGTGATCCAGTTTCTATTTAGATGATGTTACCTCTAGAGGGTTGACATTTTTAGCTTCACTTAAGCAGCACTAGAAGTTCATCAAGCACTGAGAATTATGGTGGCCCATACTAATTGCCTGAGAAAGGATGAATCCATTATGATTAAGTACTACATAAAATAAAGAGTAGAATTATTCTGTCAAGTGTATGTTTTTTTGTGAAACAGAAATAAATACTAAAAACATTTTTGTAATTCTGAAGCCATCATTTGAAAGATTTTCCCAAATAAGTTAAATTTCTCAAAATGATTCAGAAATAAGATGCCACATTGAGAGAAGTAATAGGTTCTAATTAATATTTTCTCAAATACCCATCTGGCAATTTCCCTATGATGTGAGCAAAAAAGAAAACTAACATATGCAAATGGCAAATGTTTTAGTTATTCTGTATTTAAATATTTTCAACTGCTGAAGAAAGACAAATTAATTTTATCATTGTAACAGAATTAAAATACAACAAACCTGGATGATCTTGTTCTCCTGTACATTCACAGTCAAGAAGGTCATGAGTAACGCAATGTGAATTTTCGTGTAATGTGAACAAATTTTTAAGTTCCTCTACTGAAAACTGAATATGTTCAGATGTCCTGGTGAAGTCCACAACTGCCCCAGACAGACCCTGCTTACTGATCTGCCTTTGATAGATCTTTTCTTCAATTGTACCTAAAGAGAAAACATTCATTAGAATGACATGTTTGGTACATCATATAGAGAGAACCCCAGACTCCACCAAAAAACTATAAGAACTGATAAATGAATTTAGTAAAGTAGCACAATACAAAATTAACATTCAGAAATCAGTTGCATTTGTATACACCAATAATAAACTATCAAAAAGAGAAATTAAGAAAACAGTCCCATTTACAATTGCTTCAAAAACTATAAAATACTTAGGAATAAATTTAACCAAAAAAGTAAACTATCTGTACTCAGAAAATTATAAGACACTGAAGAGGGAAATTAAACAAGATTCAAATAAACGGAAACACAGACCATGCTCATGAATAGGAAGAATTAACATAGTTAAAATGTGCATGCTGCCTAAGGTAATACAGATTCAAGGCAACTCCTATCAAACTACCAATGACATTTTTCACAGAAATAAAACATGTTATCCTAAAATTTATATGGAACCATAAAAGACCCCAAATAGCCATGGCAATCTTGAGAAATAAGAACAAATTGGGAGGTATTACAATACCTGATATCAAATCATACTACAAGGCTATAGTAATCAAAACAGCATGATACTGGCATAAAAAAAAAAACCAGATACATAGATCAATGGAACAGAATAGATACAGAAATAAATCCATACTTATATGGTCATTTAATATATGACAATAGAAGCAAGATTTACATTGGGGTAAAGACAATCTATTCAATAAATGGTGCTGGGAAAACTGGACTGACACGTGCAAAAAAATGAAGCTGGACCACCTGCTTACACCATACACAAGAATAAGTTCAAAATGGATTAAAGACTTAAATGTAAGACCTGAAACAATAAAACTCCTAGAAGAAAATATAGGAAGTAAATTTGCAGATATTACCCTGAGTAATATTTTTACTGATGTATCCCCTTGGGTAAGGGAAGTAAGAGAAAAAATAAACATATGAGATTACATCAAACTAAAAAGTTTTTTCAAAGCAAAAGAAACCATCAACAAAACAAAAAGGCATCCTACTGAATGGGAGAAGACATTTGTCAACAATACATCTGATAAGGGGTTGATATCCAAAATTTATAAAACACTCATTCAACTCAACACCAAAAAAACAAATGGCTAATTAAAAAATGGACAGAAGATATGAAGAGACATTTTTCTAATGAGGACATACAGATAGCCAACAGGCATATGAAAAAATGTTCAACCTCACT